GTATTTTGGATACGGGTGCTTCTATCTCTGTGGTTGATTACAGATGGTGTAAACACCACAAGGTGTATGTTAAACCATGGAATGGAGACTCAAAAGTCAGAATGGCTACTAAATCAGCAACGTTTGAGCCTATTGGGACAACTCTACTTGAAGTTGCACTAGGACCAAAGCGATTCGCTCAAAAGTTTGTCGTTGTGGACGAGTTATCGACTACTGCTCTGCTAGGAGTGGACTTTCTATATCGAGCAAAAGTTTTGATCGACCTTCAAGGAGAAAACATCTCTTTCAAGGACAACCAATCGCACCTGAAGATTAAGATTTCTTTGTGTAAAGGGAATGATCCAAGGGATCTTTTGCAAATAGCACCACAGTTTCTACGTATCGTGGATGATGAGGTTCGCATCGCACCCCTGCATGAAAGGACAGTCGTTGTCACTGTCCGTAAGGCATCACCTTATTATCGCTTTAATGTTGATGGAATTGTTTCCGCATTATCTTCTGCTACCACTAAATATGGTATTTGGGCTGCTCGAATGCCAAGCAGACTGGGAGAAGGAACAACGACAATTGTTCTAGCTAACTTGTCTGATAAAGAGGTCATACTACGACAAGGCTATGCGGTCGCCAACTTTGATGCACATGCGCTGCGAAAGTTTGGTGATCGATTGGAAGACCTAAATGTGATTGAAGTAACACCGTCTCTGGACGATGATCCTGTTATAGCACCGAATTCGAACCACAACACGTGGAAATCTAATTCCACTGTGGAACCTACTTCATCCAACAAAATCGAAGTAGATATGAACCTCGCGTGGGATAAGTTGGACCAACCCACTTATGCAAGGAATTCTAATGAGTTGGAGTTTGTCGATGGATGGCCGAAAGGTTTGAACGTCGATAAGGTTCTGAATAGACTGAACATTGACCAGCAGACAGACTTGAAAGCGTTATTGTTTCAATATCGCGAGGCATTTGCATCAAACCCTGATCGACCAACGCCAGCAAATGCCGTACACGGTATTGATACCGGTACTTCTGGACCAGTTAAATCGCGTCCATATAAAGTGGACCACAGCAAACGCCAGTACATTGCTGAACGTATAGAAGAACTACTTCATAACAAAGTGATTCGTCCATCGCGAAGCCCTTGGTCGTCACCAGTAGTACTAGTTCCAAAAAAGGATGGTAGCATACGTTTTTGCGTTGACTATCGAAAGCTAAACTTGGCAACAATCAAGGATAGTTATCCATTACCACTACAAGAAGATTTGTTAAACAATGTCGACAAGACCTGGTATACCACTTTGGATCTTGCTGCTGGTTACTGGCAAATCCCAGTTGCTGAAAAAGATATTGAAAAGACCGCCTTCGTTACTCATGAGGGCTTATACGAGTTTTTGGTTATGCCGTTTGGGTTGACGAATGCGCCTGCCACGTTCCAAAGGGTGATGGATATGGCTCTCGTAGGATTGAAATGGCAGTGTTGCCTAGTGTATTTAGATGATATAATCGTCTTTTCAAATACGTTTGATCAACACTTACAAGATATTGAAAAAGTGTTAAAAAGGTTACTAGAACAAGGTCTCTCTCTCAAAGCGTCGAAATGCAATTTTTGCGCCGAGGAAGTGGAGTACTTAGGACATATTGTTAGTCGCCATGGTATTCGACCTGGTAATAGAAAAGTTCAAGCTGTACAGGAGTTTCCGATTCCGGAGAACGTGTCAGCTGTGAGATCGTTCTTGGGTTTGACATCATACTACAGACGATTTATTCCAAATTATACTAAGATCGCTAGTCCGTTGTTACAATTACTTCCTCATGATGTTGTTTGGACATGGACTGACTCTCAGAGTCACGCCTTCGCGGTATTGAAAGAGGCATTAATATCTGCGCCGATTTTAGCAATGCCTAAATCTGGACGACCGTACACTGTACAAACCGATGCATCATTGCTTGGTCTGGGAGCAATCCTATCCCAAAAAGATGAACATAATCATGAGCGAGTCATCGCCTATGCTTCACGAGTTCTTTCCCCTGCTGAAAAGAAGTGGGATACTAGAGAGTTGGAAGCTTTGGCCGTGGTTTGGGCTTGCGAATACTTTCGCGCTTATCTATCAGGCTATCAGTTTACTGTCCAAACGGATCACTCCGCGTTGGCATGGCTGAAATTGACAAACAAACCTGGCAGACTTAGTCGCTGGATTTTGCGCCTGTCAGAATTTGAATTC